ACTCTGTCGCCCAGACTGGAGTGCAGCGGCCGCTTCCGGCCACCGCAGCCTCGACCTGTTGGGCTCCGGCGATCCTTCCACCTCAGCCTTCCGAGTAGCCGGAATTACAGGCATGCGCCACCACGCCCGGCTGATTTTTTGATTTATTGTAGAGATGAGGTCTCGCTGCCCAGGCAGGTCTCGAACCCACGGGCTCAGGCAATCCACTCACCTCAGCCTCCCAAAGCGCGGGATTACGGGCTGAGCCACTGAGCCCGGCCCTTGTACTATTTTAAATGTGCTTAGAGTTAGGGTGAAAACCTCCTAACTTGGAAGAGCAAGGTCTTGAAAGGAAGGCTGACAACAGAAGACACAAAATACAATTCCCTAGGAACCATTTTTGGAAGTGTCATAGCTATGAGGGTAACTGCAGAAAAGAAAGAAAAAATGACCACACCAAACAGCCTGTGAGCCATGAGACTTTTCCATTTTATATATATTTATATTTTATTTCATTTTATTTTATTTTGAGTTGGAGTCTTGTTCTATCACCCAGGCTGGAGCACAGTGGCACATTTCACAACCACCGCAGCCTCGACCTCCTGGGCTCAGGCAATTCTTCTGCCTCAGCCTTCCAAGTAGCTGGAACCACAGACACATGCCACCATGTTTGACTGATTTCCCTTTTATTTGTATTCATTCATTTATTTTTGAGTCAGGGTCTCACTCTGTCACCCAAGCTAGAGTGCAGTGGCGTGATCATGGTCCACCACAGTCTCGACCCCCTGGGCTCCACTGATCCTTCTGCCTCAGCCTCCCGAGTTGCTGGGACTACAGGTGCATGCCACCACAACCAGCTAATTTTTTGCAGAGCCGAGGTCTTGTTACATTGTTTAGGCTGGTTTCAAACTCCTGGGCTCAGGCAGTCCTCTTGCCTCAGCCTCCCAAAGCACTGGGATTACAAGCATGAGCCACTGCACCCAGCTGGGGTTTTTCTTTAACTAACTTCCTTTCCAAACTGACTTGCTTACCCCAAGAGAGAGGTAAAAAATTAATTAATTAATTAATTAAAAGTATAAGAAAATAAACCCAAGTGTTACCTCACACGAAAGCAGAGTACCCACCACCATCATACCCTTAGAGTCACGAAAAGGTCTCACAAAATACACAATGGACAGAAACAAATTTCTCCATGACTTTTCAGGACTCCAGCTTCCTTAACCAGCCTACTCAGGCAACCGAATGCCTGAACCTGGAACATGAGGCAACAACATCTGGATTTACATGTCAGTTTCTAAGGGGAGAATTTAACAGCGCCCAGGTAAACAGGGAGAGCATCCAAAGAAAATTTATTCCTACTGTTTTTGGACAAGCAGCCCAGATTTAAACGACCTGATTCAGAGTTGAGCAGAAAGAAAAATAAGAACACAGCCAAAGACCTATGCACAAATCCTGTAGCAAAGAAAGTGAATAGTTTAAAAGAGAGCTGACGGTCACATGTTGGCAGAATCTGTTCCCCTGTCAAACAGGAGAACAGTTAGACAATGATTGTTTTATATGCTGAAGAAATGAAATAAAATAGAATTCTATGAAACAAGATTTGAAAATGTGCAAAATAATCTTCAAGAATAAAGTGAGGCCACTAGAGCTAAAAGGTATTTTTACAGAACTAGGTAATGCTAGTACAGAATTTAAAACTATATTAGAAGCAGCAAAGAATAGAATAGACATTGAAGTAAACCAATCGAAGATTTGAAAAGCAGACTTAGAAAAATCATACAAAACCCAGTGTTTTGGATGAGATGTATTATTGAGAGAAGAAAGCAAGTATCCAACACTGAGATAATTTGTGTGTTTGGAGGAGAGAATAGAACAAATTGAATGACCTGACTGAAAAAGGGCAGAGGGAAACTGTCTTAGAACAAAGGAAATAGTCTATATTTTGATTTTACTTAGAGTGTGCATGTTTGTCAAGATTTATCAAACTGTGTATTTAAAATGTGTGTGTACTATTGTATATAAACTATACCTCAATAAAGCTAAGTTAAAAAGAAAACACAAGACTATCACTGCATAAGTCTAAAACACTGAAAATATAATAGGTTAAAATAACTGAGAAAAGAACTTGTACAAGTACAGCAAATGTTAGTATTTCATTTAAAATACAAAATGAGATTTATCTTTAAAGTCAATGCTAATTAAATATGGAGTATAATTTATCAAATGCTGGACTCCTCATTGTTTCCTGTATCTTGGCATCTGTGTTTAATTACAGTTTTCCTGAGGGACATCCTTTAGTAATTCTTTCAATGGTGATCTGTTGGTTGTTAGCTCTTTTGTTTCTGGTATATCTGAAGTGCCTTTATTTTGCTGTCACTCCCGAAAGACAGTTTAGTTGACGTAAATTTTTAGGCTGTCGATTCCTTTCTCTCAGCACTTTAGAGCTACAACTTTATTACCTTGTGGAATCATTTATAGATTAGCATGCTGTTCATGGGTTAACTGTCAGTCCTTTATAGAAAAACTGTTTTTTACTTTCTGATAGTATTAGGACTTTTCTCTTTATTCTTTTTTTTTCTCCTTTATCCTTTATTATCTACATTTTTTACTACAAAGCGTCTGGATATGCATGTATTCCAGTTGTCATCCTCAGTACTTCAAGTACACTTCTGTCAGTTAGAATTATTGGACATCATCTCTTCAAATATAATTCTTTACTATTTCCTTTATTTTCTTCTTCCAGAACTAGTAGCTAAATGTTGAAGGCTTCCAGTCTGTCTTTCATGGTTTTAACTGTTTCTTCATAATTTTTATTTATCTGTCTATGCATTCTTGGAAATTCCTCAACATTTTCTTTCAGTTCATTAGTTCTCCCTTTGTCTCTGTAATCTAGAGTTATGTTTCTTATTTCCAAGGTTTCCAGTTATTGTTGATTTTCGTATTGACTTGTCTTTATTTTTAGTTCAGCCTCTTTTGATTTCACAATATTTTGTTATCTAATGTGAATATTTTTTCATTTATGCCATTGAAGTTTCCAAACATATATTTTATTCAATCTAAGATGTCATCAGTTGGCACTGTCAATTACACTGTGATACATGCTCATATACATCTTCAGATTGATGTATGGCAAAGCCTTAGTAATTTTTAGATTTATTTAATTTTATGGCTGAACTTCTTGTTGGTTTTGTCAGCTGTCTTTCTTAGCTTTGTATTTTTCCATATTTTAGAAGGTTCTCTCTCACCCACTGTACCTCATTCGTTCCTTTCCAGAAGTTTTGCATTTGCCACTGTTCTGGCCTCATGACCCTCAGGCCAACGAGGTTTTAGAGGTGCATCTGGGATTCTTCTGCCAGGGTGATACTGGAGATAATGCAGATCCAGTCATCCAGCCCTGGCGTGGTCTCATTTAGCTCCAGATTACCCAGTTGTCAGTAGAAGGGAGTGATTTTATTCCCCTTTCCCAAGCCAGGGATCCGCAGCCCAGCCCCTTTTTTAATCAGTGGGCCTGTTTTTCTCCCACTTACCTTTCTCATTTCTGCAAACGGCATCTACCCAGTTGCTGAGGCCATCCACTTAGAAATCATTCTTGATTTCCCCTCCTTCTGTGCATTCCATATCCAATCTACCAGTTGGTACAGCTGGCTCTACCTCCAAACATAAACTGAGGCCACTCCGCATCACTCACATTGCTGTAGTCCTTATGTAATCCACACACACTCCCTCTCCTCGAGACCTCAGTAACAGCCTTCTGACTGGTGACTCCATTACTGTTCTTGCCACCCGCAATCCTCCTCCCCCCCACAGACTGTCCACTCCCGAGGAGGCAGACTGATCTTTCTAAAGCAGAAATCAAGCTACTTTAGTCTTCGGTTGAAAACCCTCCAAAGGTCGCTATTGCAGCCAGAAGAGTATCTCAGCTCTCCACTGTGGCCCTCTGTGATCTGGCCTGCTACCTGTCTCTTCTTACTCCACTCTCCTGGCCATTCCTTGCTGCTCAGTCACCCTCGCCTTTTTGTTCTTTCAGCATTCCAAGCCTGTGCCTGGCAGGCTGTTCCCTCAGCTCTCCGCCTGGCCGCCTTCCTCTCTTTACTCAGATTTCAGCTAAAATATCCCCACTTGAGAGAGGCTTCCTATAGCCACCCTGTGTGAAACTCCATGCTTATATCCTTCCATAATACCTACAAGTGTTTGAAAGTATTTTATGTATGTGTTTATTGATGGGTTTACTCGTTTATTGACCGTTTCCTCCCTATAGATTAGAGCTTCTCAAGCTGTATACTGTGGTATCCACCTGTTGTGCTCGGGGAAGTTACAGGTGGGCTGAAAAATGGATTCCTTGGCCTTTGAGGCTTTTCAGCTGTCCCTATGGTAGCCTGCCACAAGTAGGAACATGCCAATTAATATCATGTGTCTGGTACGCTGGGAAAAACCAGCGTACCAGACACATGATATTAATTGGCATGCTTGCCATGACGTGGAAAGCGCTGGGAAGTACCTCACTGGAATATAAACTACTTGAGGACAAAGAAGAAGCTGAAATTGTTACTAACAGCATGTGTTTCTGGGAACACTTAGGAAAGTAGAGAAATGCTGCAGTGGCCACCAAGCATTTTTGGAAGAGCTTATCCTTGGATCATGACAGTGGCAGGATCTGTTTGCCATCTGCCAACCTACTTCTCTCCAAACCAACAGTGTTTAGCTACCTGAGGTCACCTACCAGTTCATCATAACTCTACACACTAGAGATTTGAAAACGTGAGAATGCCTTTCTTCCACAAAAAATTTTCCAGGAGGCCACTTTGATGTTTGATCTGTCTCAGTCAAACATTATTAGTGCCTTGATCTGTCTTTTCCAGTTCTATCTTGTTTACTCCAGCAATGCTTACTGAGTGGCTATCACAGATCGGGCACTATACTAGGTGTTTCCATAGGTTATTTTGCATTTTAATATATTTTAAACAATCTATTTCGGAAGGCTATGATAAATATGGGCCTTTTATGAAAATATTTTATAATTTCAGCTGAAATTGAAAAAAAACTCGGGGAATCATTGGATTCTACTGACCACTTAGAAGATTATGTAAATAAAAGGTAATTGACTTTACATTTTTAGATATTTTATTGTTCAATGATGTTTCTAGTAGGATGTGTTCTATCATTTGTGTTATGCTAGATCAGAATGAATTTTTTCCTCTCTTCCTTCTTCTTCTTCTTATTATTATTTTGAGTTGGAGTCTCACTCTGTCGCCCAGGCTGGAGTGCAGTGGCACGCTCACAGCCACTGCAGCCTCGACCTGCTGGGTTCGTCCACCTCAGCCTTCCAAGTAGCCGGAACTACAGGCATGCGCCCCCATGCCCAGCTAATTTTTTGACTTATTGTAGAGATGAGGTCTCGCCAAATTGCCCCGGCTGGTCTCAAACCTGTGGGCTCAAGCAATTCTCCCACCTCAGCCTCCCAAAGTGCTGGGATTATAGGTGTGAGCCACCGTGCCCGGCCCCCTCCTTATTATTAACATGTAGTTCCATGACACAATCTGATGCGTGGCCAAGACTGCTCAGCCACTAGGCATCACATCCAGACCCAAGCCCAGTCAAATGGAGAGAAAGACGTGGAAAAAAGAACAGCAATATTTTTGTAGGAAATACACAAATTTAATCACACTACAACACAGAGGTGAAAAAGGCAGCTTCTTTTTCTGGATAAAGTTCTGATTTTTCTCATGAACCCCTCAACCTCTATGGAATGAAAAAAATTATTAATCCAAAATTATTAACTCTGTTTGGAGCAATAATGAACAGCCTCTTTAGGTTTCACTCAGTTCTCCCAAGATGGTATCTGAGTATCTGAGTGAGGAGCTCACTGGACTGTGTAACACGGAGGATAATGTGCCTGACCCAGGATCATGGTCAGTGCCCTCATACGGTCACCAGGGCTGGTGACCATGGGATCCCGGATGTGCTGTGGCTGCGGACATCGTGGTTCATGAACTCACGGTCTATGCTCAGATTTGAACAGGGCCCACTCTCAATTCTCACCGGTGTGGTAGAACCCTGTGAGCCTCTGTCATGTCCCTCACCTGTCCTCAGATGAGGCTGTCCACACCTTACCCATGCCAAGTCTTTGCTGTAGGCCACCTCACCCTGCAATAACAAGCCCCTTGGCAAGCCTAAACTTGGTGTCCACGTTCCATGCGAACCAAGGAAGATTTGGAATAAACACGATCTCTTCTCTCTGCCTGACTCCATTATGCCATCCGCTTAACATAGCTGTGGCCGCCCTAAGCTGGCATGAAGCTGTTCTGGGAAGCTTTTCCCAGAATTTCAACAAAGGTTGTAGCAAATACCTCTCTGCCTTTGGCATTCTCCTCAACTTACGTAATACACCTCCTTACCACTCAGAAACCAAAGAGGCACACAGGTGGCTATCTTCTGTCCACCCCTGCTTTTGCTATCTTTTCCCACAAACCAGGCAGATAGGAAAGGACGGCCTTGTCAGTTTGGAAGTCTATGGGAGAGAGGTCGGTGCCCTTTTGGGCGGTGACTTCTAGGAATAAGGGGAGGCAGGAAAGAATTGACAGACTGAAATCAGCCCTATCAACATTTCCCTGAACTGTGTTTCTTTACAGAAAAAAATCTTCACAGATGAATGATTGTAATATAAAAGAAGATGAATCGGTCAAAAATGATCAATTAAGTGAGTATAGTTTGGTGAGAAAGAAAAGCCTGCTCCCTTTGTGCTTTGAGGATGAATTGAAAAATCCAGATACCAAGATAATCAACGCTAGTCCGACAAAGACAGTGACTTCTCACTTGGTAATAAGTAATGTCTATTACTGTTCAGTAAATATACGGTCCAGTATTGCATATCAATACTACTCATGGGAATCACCCGTTCATTTTAGGAGCAGAATCTTTTGTTGTTGTTGTTGCTGTTGTTTTTTGGTTTTGGTTTTGTTTAGTGCTTTTCTTTACAAAGGAGGATTTAGCAAATTTGCTTGATTATAATAAAAATACAAGATAAAAAAAGGCTTTTTTTTTTTTGTAAATGACTGGAACAGTCTACCCAAGTGTAGTGGCACTTGCCTGTAGTACCTGCTACTCAGGAGGCTGAGGCAGGAGGATCCTTGAGCCTAGGAGTTCAAATACAGCCTGGGCAACATAGTGAGACCCCTGTCTCTTAAAAAAAAAAAAAAAAAGATTATTGGACCATGTGTTCATTTTAGCTATCTCAGCCAGAAAACACATTTATGAAAGGTTATTTAGTAGGTCAGAGTCTCTAGGAGGGCGAGAGAGACAATCTGGCTGGAAAGCTGTCCAATCAGGAATTAAGTCCAGACTGCCCCCACTGAGGCCCTGTTGTACAGATGACAGTGCACTGCTCTGATGCGGGGCAGGGAATACTCCTCCTAAGGTCGTTTCTACAAAAAGAACAGTAAAAAGATAAGACTTTTGCCCTTCAAAGCTAAATATAGCTTCCACCACCCTCACTAGGCTAGTTCCACAGTACTGTTTCACAGTGCTTGCTTATTTTGAGCAGATTTCCATAGGTGTATCTGATTGGCAAAGCCAAGGTCACATGCTGTCGCCTGATCCTAAGAGAGGCTGAGAAAGGTAGTTTCTGCTTCTACCTGAGAGTACAGAGACTTAAGTGGAAAGTTTTCTTTTTTAAAAATATATATATTTTTTGAATCGAAGTCTCACTCTGTCATCCCGGCTGGAGTGCAGTGAGGCACACGGCCACTGCAACCTCCGCCTGCTGGGCTCAGGTGATCCTTCCCCCTCAACCTCCCAAATCGCTGGAACTACAGACATGTGCCGCTACGTCTGGCTAATTTTTTGATTTATTGTAGAGATGAGGTGTCGCCAAGTTGCCCAGGCTGGTCTCGAACCTGTGGGTTTAGGCAATCCTCTCACCTCGGCCTCCCAAAATGCTGGGATTATAGGCATGAGCCACCGTGCCCAGTGGAAAGTTTTCTAAGGTGATGGGCAGACCAAAAATATGACAAGCTTCCATTACTGTGGCTAAATAAGTGATACTGGCATCACCGGTGGATTGCAAAACCACACCTTCTGTCATCTTTTTGTAATCATAGTTATTAATGTACCTTTCACATTGAGTACACTAATATAAAATGACCCTGATTTTCTAATTATATTTTTAAAGGAACAGTAACATATATTGACTTAAAATTTGTGAACTAAATACTAATAATATGCATATTTGACCAGTTTTTTTGGAGTTAATCTTTTTTGGCCTAACAATGAAAACATGAGGAAAAGTTTAAAGAGTAGCTCACATGGACAGATTTTGCTAATACTGTGATTAAAATGGTTTAAGTCAAGCTTGATTATAATAGAAATACAAGATAAAAAGAAAATTTCTCTGGCTATTTTATTCCACGAATATATACTGAGCACTTTTTATGTGTCAGATATTGTTCTGGGTGTTGGGGTAAATAAGTATAACAGCTGTAGAGATCATTTTACATTTTTAGAATTATTTACTGCAGTATCCAGACTTTGTAATTTTGGCTTGTAATCAGTCATGCCTCTCATAAACTTGAACTTAATCCCTTTTTCGGTATGCTCTTAAACTTCTAGAACATGGAAACCTAAGAAATGCCAGAGCAATATTCCATCCTACCAACTACCTTATTTCCCAGTGACAATAGTACAAACTTTTAAGAAATATACTTATGTTTTTGTATTCCACTTTATTTCAAAAAGGATTTAAGGCCTGGCTCAATGGCGCAGCCTGTAATCCCAGCACTTTGGGAGGCTGAGGCGAATGCATTGCCTGAGTCCGCGGGTTTGAGACCAGCCTGGACAACATGGCAGAACCTCCACTCTACAATAAATAAAAACTTTAGCTAGGTGTGGTAGCACGCCTGTAGTTCTTGCTACTTGGAAGGCCGAGGCGGTGTTGCCGGAGCCCAGCAGGTCGATGCTGGGGTGGCCGGGAGCGGCCACTGCACTCCTGTCTGGGCGACAGAGCGAGACTCCAACTCAAAAAAAATAAAAAATAAAAAAGAATATTAAGAAAAGAAGGAAGTATGTCACACATAAGTGTATCATTTTGTGTATTTTAATAACACTATAGTTATACTAAATACTTCTATGTCATCATTTTTAGAATATTTTACAATTTTATTTTCATGTTTAGAAACATGTAAGTTTCTTGCCTCAATATATTTATGACTAAACACTCTCTTCTTCGATCCACAGGAACAAAAAGGCACAAACCCCGTAATTTTCCATGACACAGAATATGTACAGATGTTACTTTTGAGAAAATACAAGCTTGCTCCCTATTCTTTGGAAAATGAAAACAATTACCCATGTAAAAGAACAAATGTTGTTTTAGAAAGAAATCGCGAAATCTTCAAATCTTTAATTGGTGATAAATCTATCACTTTTTCCAAACTGAAAAATACTATGCCTACAGCAAGGAGAAAAGATATACAAACCATATCTTTTGAAGCGGGCCACAGAATTGTAGGTGATAATCTAAAGAAAAAAATGAACAAGCAGACATTAGAAAACAAATCTTGGAATACACGCTATAATTTTTCCAGCCTAACAAGAAAATTTATAGATTACCCTGGTAAAACTGTTATTCAAGAAACGAGTGATAAAACTGAAAAATTTGAAAGAAAGTTTTCTACAGTGAAACCAGTGAGCACACACAAACATAGTGCCTCCCCTGTCAAATATTACTCAAAGTCTTTTAAAAATATACATAAATTAAATAATGTAACACCACTAGATAATTTGTTAAGCACATCAAGTGAAAATTAAACGCCTCATACAATGTCACTTATACAGCAGTATTTGGGTAGCAAGAAGTAAATAACCAACTTCCAAAATCACAGAAGAAATTGTTATCCAAATAGTAATAGTAATGTTCTCTTGGATATATAAGAAAGCAAGGTATAGAAATTAGAATTACAGGTCAACAGATGTCTGCTCAAGAACAATTAACATTTTCAGTAAATAACAGGACAAAATAGGGAAGCAATTATCAACCAAAGAAACTCATGTATGACTTTCTATTATCTCAGATTGCTCAATCAGCATTCCTGCAGTCAGGTCTGATTCCCAGTGAAGAACAGCATGGACTGACTCTGGAAACATGCTGTTGGAAGCCAATGACATCAGTAATCTTACTCTATGATTGAATATCAAATAATACAAATGCACCATTAATTAAAAGAATGTGGAGTTAATTGTGTGTCAGTGTTTGAGATAATCATGGGAAAACGTATTACATTAGCAATGCATGCAATTAAAAAGGCTTTGTAAAATTTTGAACTGCTTTTCTTGTTTGTAGATGTTGGAACTTCAATACTACCTACATAACGCTTTTTTCCAAGTATAACTTTAACTTCTTTCTGAATTGCTAAATACTTTTAAAGGATAACTTTTCCTTAATGAGCGAAAAAATTTTAGTAGCAAATTCTATAAGGAATTGAACATTTTGAAGTATATTATTACATTACTATTTTACTATTTCTCATTAACTTCTCATTATCTCACACAGTATAAAGACAGAATTCAACTTAGAAGTCAGTTGCATTTCAAATGTTTATTTGTAATCTGTTTGCTTGGAATTTAGAATGTATTTCAGATAATAGTAATTTGGGAGGTAATAAATTCCAAACCTACTTAACTTAAACATTTATCCATTAGAGTTTATGTGAAAAGAGTAAAAAGCCATAATTTTAATAATTAAGAGAGAAAGCTAAGTAAGAAAAGAATTTTTCAATCTTGACTGCTTCTTACTTGAGAAGAAGCAAGTCGAATTAACAGCACTTAAATTCCGGAAAAGCTTCTTGGGAGTCTTTCAGAACTTTTAAGGGGGTAGAGGTAAACCGGTTTAGGTTTCTGTCTTTCTGCTTCAGACTTGAGTTTTTTTTATTGTGCATTTTTACCACCAGTGCTGCCCCATGGGCCTCTCTTCACAACTAGAGAGAGGTCTGGACTCTCCAAAAGAATGACACAGAGAGAAAATGGAGAAGGCTGGGGGAATATGTACCGGGAGCCTGTGAATGAGACGAGAGATAAAAAGGCTTCGAGATGAGGGGGTGGGCTCAGGTGTGCAGGAAGTAGGGGCGGGGCCTACGAGGTTTCCTTTCTGCTGGGAACAGGCTGGAAGGGGAAGAGCTGCACCGCTGGTGAAGTCACCTTTTCCTTTTCTCTTCGTTCTTTTCTGGTTGCTGTCATTCATTCTGCCGGTTTTCCCTCCGTCAAGACTCATTGCAAAGCAGGCCAGTTCCCCTAACCATCTTGCTAAGTCCAAAGAGCAAACACAAACGTAAGCACTAACAATAAGGATAGCCACAATTAGAAAATATGTCTAATAATAGTACAAGTATGACGGTCGTTTCCCAATACTCAGTGTGGGAGTGATAATTGTGGGCCTTGGAATAGGGCAGGTAGGCGTGAAGTTGGGCAAATACTGTAAACTATCTAAGCCTCAGTTTATTAGATCCCACCTTAAGATGGGGACAACAATAATTGATTACAATATTATTGTTTCAAGACTAAATAAAATAATGCCGAGTACCTTGACACAGGTACTGGCCCACAGTGAACATGGATGGGGTGGCAGGAAGGACCACTAAAGCAAATCTCACCAATTACAAGTCATCAATCTTCCCTTGCTTGCTAAGCCACACTTTTCCTGGAACTCAGCTTCTAGTACCATGGCCCAATTTCACCCAGTCAACAAAAAGCAGTTAACAGCCGGGCTCGGTGGCTCAGCCTGTAATCCCACGGCTTTGGGAGGCTGAGGTGAGTGGATTGCCTGAGCCCACGGGTTCGAGACCCGCCTGGGAAATTGGCAAGACCTCATCTCTACAACAAATCAAAAATTAGCCGGGCGTGGTAGTGCATGCCGGAAGGATCGCCAGAGCCCAGCAGGTCGAGGCTGCGGTGGCCGGCTGCGGTGGTCTGGGCGACAGAGTGAGACTCCAACTCAAAAAAAAAAAGCAGTTAACCATTCACTGCTAGCTGCACAGTAAACAAGGAGCAGTTAACTATTATTAATTATTTCTGTTAACTAACCTTATCTTTTTCAAGGGGGGTCAGAGTCTCACTCTGTCACCCAGACTGGAGCGCCGTGGCACATTCACAGCTACCGCAGCCTCGACCTACTGGACTCAGGTGATCCTTCCGCTTCAGCCTTCCAAGTAATTGGGAATGCAGGCGCACACCATCACACCCAGCTAATTTTTGAATTTACTGTAGAGATGAGGTCTCGCCATGTTGCCTAAGCTGGTCTCAAATCCTTGGGCTCAGACAATCCTCTCGCCTTGGTCTCCCAAAGTGCTAGGATTACAGGTGTGAGCCACTGTGTCCAGCGTAACCTTATCTTAAAGAAAAAAATAGCATCAATCAGCTGCTTCACAAACCTCTGGAAATTTCCTTTTTAGACCACCCCAAAGACAGTTTCCTGGCCCACACTGGACCCCTCTTATAAAAAGCACCTTTCTGGCGCTTGCCTCTTTGCAGAGAGTAGACACTCTCTCTGCTGTTCCGCCCATTATGCCCTTCACAACGTATCTTCCCTTTAATAAATCTACCTTTCTTAAGTCATAACTGTCTTGGTGAATACTTTCACCCCCGTGACTCTGGCCATACCAAACCCAGACTGCCACGAACAGCATTCACTATAGTAAATTAAAAATGTATGGCTTCTGCTAAGCCCACTTGACCCACTGCACTTGATCCAGGAGGAATACCGGACCAAATTAAGATTTTTTTCTAAGCATAACTTTCAAAATATTAAAAAGCACGACTCTCATAGAAATATAAAATGAACATGTCAAAGATTTTATTCAACCCATTAGCTAATGTATAAAGAATAAGATGTGAAAACTACTTTGAGGCCAGGTATGGTGGCTCATGCCTGTAATCCCAGCACTTTGAAAGGCCAAGACAGGACTATGTGAGCCCAGGAGTTCGAGACCAACCTGGGCAATATAGTGAGACCTCACCTCTAGAAGAAAAATTTTTTAAAAATTAGCCTGACATGGTGGTATACACCTGTAGTCCCAGTTATCTGAAAGGCTGAGGCAGAAGGATTGCCTGAGCCTAGGAGGTTGAGTGTGCAGTGAACCGTGATCGGGTCACTGTACTCCAATCTGGGTGACAGAGTGAGATCCCGACTCAAAAAATAAAAATAAATAAACTAAAAATTAAATAAAGTAGACAGATATTAGATAGTCAAGGCAGTCAAAAGAATACTAAATTGAAAACTTGACAGTTATATTTTCTATGGGAGGAAAATCGATGGTATTGCTACAGATAACATTTCATTTACATCGCTATGAACACGAATAATTTTGCATTACTGTTTGTTTTCTACAAGTCAGCCTCAACTAGCTAGAAAGCCACTCAAAGGTGCACACCCCTATAGACTTAAATAATCCACGAAGTCTACAGACAATTCTCAGCACTCCATTGAAAGGATATTCAATAATCACCTCTCTTATTTCTAAGTACTAGATAATTTTTCTGAACATTTCTCTTCTGCCTGGAAGTCATTCAAGTATTTTAAGATGCCAGAAGCATCTCATTTTTCTCCAGGAGTCAGGTGCCCAGGACTGGATCCAGGTGTGGTAAGAGCAGGAAGATATTTTATTTCAGTACTCAAAGGGAGAATTAAACCAGTCATTATGAAAGTTGTGGGGCTAATATTAAATATAAATCCTATTTACCGCCTATTTCACTCTAAAGAAAACTCTCCTTGTGAATGTTCTCTGCCCAGAAAAAGGGTAGGATAACAAGAAGCAAAGAACTGGTTTGATATGAGGTGTACAATAGTAGATTCCAAAGTGGCATTTAATTTGTTAACATGCCTGCAAGAGACAATACTTCATTTGATCCAAATACTATCCTTTTGTGTGAACAATAAGTCCAGAATCAAAATATGATCTTTCTATTTCAGATGTGAACCACACAGTTTGAATGGCTGTAATTGGTAATTAATGCCTCCGGAGACAATTCCATTTCATTCTTTTGCCTAAGTTTTAAAAAATATTTTTTTGTCTACTTAGCAAAAATAGTAAGATCCTTAATATCTTGTCCTTTTCATCATTTTTGTTTTGTTTTGTTTTGTTTTTGAGAGACAAGGTCTCACTCTATCACCCAGGCTGGAGTGCAGTGGCACAATCCTAGCTCACTGCAGCCTCCAACTCTGGGCTACGCACTCCTGCAACACCCTTCCAAGCAGTTTGGACTACAGGTGGCCACCACGTCAGGCTAGTTTTTTAGCTTTTGTAGAGATAAGTGAGACTATGTTGCCCAGGCTGGTCTTAACTTCTGGCCTCAAGAGATCTTTCCACCTCAGTCACCCAAAGTGCTGGGATTCCAAGCATGAGCCACCTTACTGGACTCTTTTCATCTTTTCGTTCACTGTTTTGCTGAGGACTTCAGAGGTAAAAACAGTCTTGAAAATCTAGACTAGAATTGTCTGATAGAAAGTTCTCTGATGACAGAAATGCTCTGTTATCTGTGTTATTCAATATTTTAGCTGCTAGCCACACGTGGCTATTAAACACTTAAAATTTTTCTCGGGCAGGTTTTCTCAAACTCAGCATTATTGAAATTTTGGATGAGTTGGATACTTGTTTGTGGCTAAAGCTGATCTACCATGTTGCGTAGGTTCCTGTTGGATCATCCTGTTTAGCTTCATCCTCATTCTCCCAGCCCTCAGCAGTCTTCTTACTTAACTTCTCTCTTCCCTCAAGCATTCCATGATGGCTGTTTCAAACTCTCCTACTCTGCCCAAACTC